AAAAAAACCACATGTAACAATAAATAAATACCTTTATGTTATTGTATTTATTTGGGAAATACAGTTGTTAAAATAAAAATAGATTTTATTTCATAAAGATTCATTATATCTCAAAGCCATTTCATAGAACATTCAAGGAGACCACGTCAAAGTATTTTTCCATATAAAACTGTATTGCGACGGTTCTCAGAACCCTATACGGCCTAGAAATATATTTTAACTGTAAGGTCTTCAGACCCTACAAAGCCTGACAGTAAAATATGAGTTTTAGCATGGAAGTCAACCTGAAAAATTAAATTAATTAAAATAATGTAAATTTCATAAAATATAAACTTTTAGAATAGTATAATTGTGTATACGAAAAAAATTCAATACAACATAATACATTATATATAAATCATAGGCATGCGCACAGGGGCAGCAAGGAGTGCTCTTGCTGTCCCTGGACGGTTTGAATATACTTGTAAGGGCTGAACTGGTCCAAGATGGGCCGCCACACCGGTAATGCTTAATACAAAATAAGTTGGTTATCCAAAAATTGTATTGTTTCCAAGCTAATCTTTTTTGTATTTAAACTTAATATAGGCTTTGAAGCTTAAATTTAAGCTTAAAAATATTAACTTAATACTCATGTATGGACCGGAAAAAATATTTACTGCCCCCAACTTGAAATTCTACGCACGTCTATGATATAACTTCTACATAGATAGCTGCAATTGCGAACAATTCTTGGAAATTGTTTTTTTTTTTGTATTTATGGCATTGCGATAGACATTGTTTTATGGTAGATTTTTGCTGCACTTGTTGTTAGATTTAGGTTATTAGGTTATGATTATATTAACAAGTTGGCTGCCAAGGTTTTTTTTGAAAACTTAAACTGCCTGCCATGAGACCCCATATAAAATCTCACCGAAACTTCACTTGACTGCCATAATATTCCATACCAAAACTCGGACATTTTTTTATTTATTTAATTCTCATAGTGGATCTCACTTAGTAGGTTTTTCAAAGTGTACTTCAACTACATAGTGTGTCCACTACACGCCTGTTTTGATAGCACATGAAAAATATATTTTTTAAAGAGTTATGGCATACCAAACATTTTTGATAATAAACGTGAATCATAAAAATCGTCTATACAAAAAAAATTATTTTGTCATGGTATCTAAACATTAATTTTTAAAACTGAAATACATATTATTTTCTTCATTGTGAATATTAATATTAGTGACGATATTATCAATCAATTTTCAGTTGATTCTGATTTCCTAAAGAGCAGGGTAAAGTGAAATAAAATGTAAACTATACATGTTCAAAAATACTATAATATTATGCTAGATTGTTAAGTCATTAAAAATATTTTTATCAATTGATAGTATTTTTAAATTGATTGTGTACTACTATAGTTAGTTTTAAATATATTTAATGGTAATATTTGAAAAGGTAGAAAATAATTTTGAGATTTAGTTTGGGATCTCGGTTTAAGGGATACCTTGATACAAAAAAACTAATCAAGTGCTATGAGACCCTATTCGGAATCTCTTATTTTAAAAATCCATAAACCAATAATAATTAATCTTAATTTATATGCTAATATTGTATATGTAAAATTTTGAAGTCAAAAAAGTACCCAATTATTTAATGGAAGTTTTAGAAAAAAAACACATGGCAGGGAATTGAAGTTCAGTGAGATCTCAAAAAAATCTTTCAAGGAAGCCAACTTATTAAAAGGCATAAAAAAAAAACACTTACATAAGATAACATTATTATTAATTTATTAAGTGAATTACATATTAATTATTAATCCATTACAATTACATGATGCAAAAAGGAACACATTAATTGAAAAAATGTATAAAATTAAATAAAATTAATTACAAGTAATTTAAATTTAAAAAAATTCCAGTCTTCAATGTAGATGGAATAAAATTAGAAAAACAATAGTTCTTAACTTAATCGATAAATAAAACATAAGAGGTTGATTACTACCATTAATTATAAATCATATTTATAATCAATGATACTATTAAAAGCAATTTATTACGGGTTTGTGTCCATTTTCTCATTTTCTTTACTCTGCGATTGTTTGATACTTGGTTGGTTTGTCTGGACTATCTGAATTGGTATTTCACCAGCAGCATTCTTAGGCACCTGAATAATGAAAATTAACAATATTGAGATAAATATACATTGGTTTTGTTTAGATATACATGATTTAATGTATATGAAATAGTCAATATACCTTTTTGGGAGCTCCAATACTTAATACACCATCTGAAGACAATGAAGACACAATAGCATCAGATTCAACATTATCTGGAATCTTATAACGTCTGGTAAATTGACGTGAAATGAAACCATGTTCATCACTTCGTTCCTCGTGTTTGCCATCTACTACTATAAAGCCATCTACAACCTTTACAGATACTTCATCTGGCTTGAACTGTTGTACATCCAAATTTACTTTGAAATTGTTTTTATCATTTTGTATGTGTGATAAGCCTTGTGATGAAGCAGTTGGGCGATAAGGTCTTTGATACAACATAAACGATGGAGAATGGTTGAGTCTACGGTGCAATCGTCGAGGATGCAATACTAAATCATCGTCTAATAAATTGAGACCAAAATGTTGGTCATAAATAGTTGGTCTTGATAGTTCATCCAATAAATATGGTAAAATAGACATCTGAAATAAAAAAAAAAAAATTATAAGTTGAACAACAGAACAAGAACCAACTATCAATTACAAATGAATGTTTAAAGGTAGAAACTATTATTTATTCAATAATATTTATAATCCGTATACCATTTTTGTAGTTTATTTGAATGCTACATACAATGTTCTTTTACTTCATTACAATTCTAATGACTGATAACTCTGCATAAACTGAACTAAGATTTTTTGTAAATATTGATGGGCAATTAATAAATTTACTAACAAAAATTAATTACACTTCACACTTCATTAAAAGTAATGAAGATCAGTTATCATAGACAATTTTGTACTAAATTCAGATGTTAGTTCCTTAGATGAACAATATATAATAAAACAGTTAACTGTTGAAACTTATAAAACATGAAATAATTAATTTTGATTACCTCAACTGTTTAAATTTAATTGAGTTCAATCATATATTTACTATATAATTATTTAGTAGTATATATTAACTATTATCTTGCCTTAATTAACCACTAACATATAAATGAAATGGAAATGGGGTTACAGAAATTTTGAAAAATGGATAGGCGAAAAGAAATAAAATTACTGCAAATCGTCTAAATACCTTGATTATTCAGCAGGCAAACGAATTGAACCAAACAATCGACTGTACAACACAAACGGTGTAACGATGAGAATGTATATGGCGCTGAATGCAACAGTGGAAATGTTCACAATACACACAGAGAATTCCGAGATGCGTTAGATACGCGAGCAGAGACAGGTAGCAAAGCGACGACTGTTGCGGTGGTTAAAACGCCGGTCGGTTTTATACCAATACCCGTCGAACGCGATCGAACGTTCTAGAATCAGCTGTTGTGATAAACAGCTAACACTGCTGTGTTCTAGAAATTTCCAGTAATCTCTACGCGGTTCGGCGGCCGAAGTAAACGGAAAAAAAGTTTTCGTTCATTTCAACATGGGTAATTTGCGAAATAAACGTTGTAAAAATAATATTTTTACTTTATCTAATAAGTATAGGTTGTGTATACCTAAGATCATCATGTATTTTCCTAATCCAAACGGGACAAAAAATACTTTTTGACTATATACTTTTTTTTTTTTTTTAATAATTATTAATAAAATTACGTACTATTATGGTTTTAAGGAATAAAAAAATTAAATTTTATTAAACACATATTTTTTTTTTTTAATACAAGAAAAAGTGTCTGTGTAAAGAAAACAGTCGAAGATTACTCTAATACTGAAATAATGAACCTATGTTAGTTCTATATGTTAGTGCTGTAATAAAACACATTAGTTTAATACGTATTGATACATCTTTCATTTAAATAAGCATTTTTATATTTTATATGAGTAGTTATATTTCGATGTACCACACAGCCCCGATGCTGTTCTACCATGTAGTATTACAGTATATACAAATTACATGCACATATAATAGTTAAATATGATAAAAACAATAATTCATCGAAAGATAAAAATTTATAATATTTTTAACCATTTTCTGAAAACATGACATTCTAGTGTCTAAAAAATTTCCCAGGGGACAACGGGACGTATGGATAAAAGTATAATGTATACGGACCTACATTTTATATTACACTGTTTTTTATTATTTAGCAATATATAAATTTAAATTACCATACAGATAAATAACAGATTTTAAAATAATTTTTATATTAGTTAATTCACAATGTTCAAAAACACTAGCATCTTTAAAATAATATTTTTATAATTATGAATTATGTAAATCTATCACATTTCGCGGTTTTTCTAATTTTGATGTTATTTTATATTCCTTATATTCCAGGCTATATTTCTATACTTTCCTAATTCTAGATATATATGTTTTGTACAAATAGGATCAATTGACTATTTCTTTTCTTGATAATTTTCAAAAATTTCATTATAGTTCAGAATCATCTACATTTAAGTGAGGGATTTTCCAAATTACTTCCTTAAATATTCTTTTAATAAGCTATATTCGGAGAACATGAGTTTTATCAACTTCAACAACATTAAATTATAACCGACGACCAGATCAAAAAGAAATGATAAACCATTATCAGACAATATCACTGTTACTGGATCTTCTACATTTCCCCATTGTTTATAGAATAAACTTATCCAGCGCCACGGTCGTGGCGCGAGCTAAGTAAAAAAAAAAAAATAGCTGTACGACGGTGTGTATAGTATATCGAAGCAGGAGTTGCCCAATTAAACTGTGTAAAATACAGGTATATTTGTCCACGAACATAACTAATTTTCTAATGCGTAAATTAACTCCTAGTAAACACCAAAAAATCAGAAATATTCTGTAGAATGTGCTTTTGTAAAAATCATCAAAATCGTACGTTTAGAAATTAAGTTATACATGAAAAAGTGCGACATTTTTAAAGCAAATTTATATTAAATTCAGAATCACGCTAGCCGTCATCGTCGTCGTTGTCGCATCGGCCTGTTCCCTCACTCGATTTCGTGTATGCAGCTCGAGGCCTAGGTGGGAGTAAATGATGAGTGTCGGCGGTCGGCGGGTCAGTCACCATGCATTCATTTCGTTTTCTGTATCTAGTGTCGTTTCACGTTCGTGGGTTATGTTTCATGTTTCAGTGTAAAATACACGAGGTTCGGTCGTGATTGTTTGAAATAATTGTTCTGTTCGTACATCGCGTATTCGCATACGAGCACATACTGAGCTGTTATAAAAATAGTTGTATAAACCATATACCAAACATTATGACAACTAAATTGCAAAAAAAAAGGGCTTATGATAAAGAAATTTACTTTCAAAAAAAAAAAAAAAAATAGACATTATTAATAAAACTATTGTTAAAAAAATAATTACAACAAAAAATTGGTATCTCGATAATCCTCTAAACAAATCATGGTAAAGTCACTGTTTCCCTTTCGTGGACATATTGAAAAATGGACTAATCGACTTATTAGTGCCGTTAAAATGCCTTTAGGTATTAAGTGCATGGGTTCAGCTAGTCTACATATGTTTAATTGTATTATTTATTTTGTTTTAGAAGAAATAAAAAATTAATTTTTAAAAATTATAATTTATTGAGAATGACAGACATAAAAATAATTAAACAGATTTAAATAGGTAAATTTTTATTTTATCAGTCAGGTTTTAAGTTTTGTACATTTTTCCACCATATTACATTTAAAATTGTACTCCACTCTTCAATATTTTTACATCATCATTATATTATTTAGATAAAATTAAAGATAAAAATATAGATATATTATCATTATTATTATTTGCATTTGCAATGATGATAAAAATTAGTGATATCACAACAAAAA